CCCAGAGGTTTGAAGTTATTTCAGTGTCGAAAAACATCTTTCTCCTGTGATTCCAGCAAAACCGTAACATCATTTGGGAGGAAATACTCGTCCAACCAACAATGAACGCACACAGACCAAGTCGTCTCTACCAGGCTGGCTCGTCTGGACAGGTTGTTCAATGATACATGAAATTAAAGATTTAAACACAACGACAGTGAAAAGGGAGAAACTGCAAAGCTCATTCGTTTTGTCGTTGGTAGATTTTTAATTTGTCCCAAGCTGAACCTTCTTTTTCTTCATACAACTGTGTGAATACATAAAGCAAAGGCCTATACTGGCTTATTATTGCAAGTTTAAGTTGTTATTGATTATGATTTTATTTATTTAGTCTTTTTTTTTTTTTACGGGAGATGACATATACGCCCTAACACACACACCCAAACAAAGCACCCCTGATTGAAATAACCTTGAAACAAAAGCCGCTTCCAATGGATGTAGAAAATATGTCGTTTTGAAAAAGGGACCACGGATCCAGACAGAGGAGTAGAGGTAACTAAGGTTTAAAAATCATAAAATATTAAAACTTACTGTTTTTATTAATCTTTTCTGAATATAAAAACACACTTTAAGCTCTAATAATTATGCGGCCATTTCATTTAGATATTTAAATGTCATTCAAAAACCTGTTTCCGTTCTCAAAAGATTAAAAGCTCTATATAATTTGTTTGGAGAGATATCAGTTTAAGCTTTTAATGTATTCGATTAGAACTGCACCTCAATTAAAAATAATTAAGATGTTTACTGCATGGTTTTGTGTTGGCAATTTTAATTAACAAGTCCTTTTGTTCTTTTTAGGAGTAAGTCTTATTACAGATAATTAAACGGGAAGTCAAGCATCAAATGAATGCAGCATCAACACAAAGGAAGACTCACATTGAATGTGTTGCATTTGATCTTGGAACAAAATGAAACAGGGAGAACAACAAGAGTCAACACATTTTTTATATAATTCAAACCGAGGATGGTTTGGTATGAAATTCTCAGTTAATCTTTACAGAAAAAAATACCTCAGCGTCAAAGTATCCCTGTAGTTATGAAAATATTTAAAGTACCGTAAAATAATCAAATTGCTTTTATATTTCAATATAGAAAAGCAAGATTTATCCCTGTTGCTGCTAAAATTAAACAACAAATCCATTACTACAGTTGCAATTTTGATATCACATCTTTAACATTTACTGTTGATTTGACTTTGAAAACCATAGAAACAACCTGATTGTTGCTCTGCACCCTGCATTTTGCAGCTGATGTGTGCAGGGGTTTAATCCACCCACTCTGGTCTGCCTCTGTGTTTTCAGCAAATAAAGGTTGTAGTCTGGGGAATACAATGGGCTTTTTTGACTTTGAGCTGTTAGATTGTTTACCTTTTAATTACTTCCAAAATATGGATAGTTTTCTCCCTTGTGTTTTGTACTAGTAAGTGCTTCAACAAAATAACACGGTTGGCAAATGACTCTGAAGCTGGTATCAGATTTAAAGCTTTCAAGTTGTCGCTAAATTAGTATTTCTCTGTTTTCCTAAAATTCTGGACCACATTTGAAAATCTGAAGTTCTCAATCGAAAATACTTGGAATAATAAAACCTAAATTGGATGAGTCAACGCTGAACACTGAATCTTCAAACAGAATTTCAGATTCATTAAACTTTTACTTTATTTGTGAAGACAAAGAAAATATTAACTTTAATCATCTTAAAAATTATTTTTGACTAGCATTAAACGGATAAAGGCTCTTTAAATATCTACTTTTTTTGTAAGTCACAATATTTATGTATTTATATTGCAGAAAGCTATTTATAAATGGCAGAGAGTATGTTTCTATGTATGGGGACCATTAGGAGTGTGTGAGGCAGTAGTTTTTATTAAAAAAAAAAAAAAAAAAAAACTCCTACTGTTTGACACAGAAATGTAGAGGCCTTCAATCTGTTTCCTAAACCTGACCTGTTGTGTCAGAAATTTAACACAATTATCTGTGCAACATGGGTAATGTCCCTTTTTTCCCCATAAAAAATATCTGCCTCTGGTAATACCAATCCCAACCAATCCCACTTGCTTATCCTGTCAGGACATAACACTTTAAACTATGCAAATGTAGAATATTGCCATTTTACCCATTGTTAAAATCCTGACAGGTGACCATTGATTCACTCCATTGGTTGGAGTGAATCAGGTATATTATTTGGAAACACCCGAGTAGATGCTTCACCCACATATGAAAACTACTGTGCCGTATCAGAGGGGTAGTGGACCTATTCCTCCCCTCTCTTGTCATGATTGTCCTCCTGGGATTGGGTTGGCTTGTCCTGGCTTGGTTGGTTCAGTGGTTCACTTTGTTTTAGTGAGAGTTACTTAATTTAACATATTTATACAATGACTCCTACAAATAAAGTCTTTTTTTTTTTAAGAATACATATTTATGTGTGGGTACTTTACCCTCTTTTTGTCATAATTTGTGAGCCAGATTATAACATAAGGAGGCAACAGTTTGACAGAATGGGGGTAAAACCAGTATTTGAACCTTGGACCTCACACACCTCATAGAAATACACGGTAAATTACTTGGGCTATTTGCTCATGTAGCCACCCAACTCAAAGTTTACCTAATTATGTCTTTCTCATTTTTTATGAGAAATAAATGTATATATTTTTTTTACATATCATAATCATAAACGTTTTTCACACTCTTATTTTCAAAACAAAACTGTTCAAGAATATTTTTGTGTGAACTTCATACCCAATGCCGCTGTGACGCCTGAATTTCCCCTGTGCTGGACAATAAAACCTGTTTCTATTCTTTCTTATATTCCAAAAAAAGCCATGGCATCTTTTCTTTCAATGAGTTGACCAGCATTGTTCAGAATCAGCACAAGTCTATTTTATGCAAAACCAGAGAAAATTCTTGTCACTCTTCCTCTGGTATCTTATAATGGAACTTTTTCACAGGTGTTAAAACCATTACTTTATATATATATATATATATATATATATATATATATATATATATATATATATATATATATATTGATTTAAAAAAAGCTTGAGAAATATTCCATTTTTACATTATAGGTTCAGTCACAACTTGTGAGAAGCATAATGTGATCAAAAAGACATTAGATTTTTTTATATCAGTTTCTTTTGAGTCTGTCTTGTTTTTAGAAACATTTGACGAGGAAAAACGACTTAGACAAGGTAAGAGAAAGACTTGACGGCACATGGTGTGTGTGTGTGTGTGTGCGTGCGTGCGTGCGTGCGTGCGTGCGTGCGTGCGTATGAAACATATGCAGATGAAGTGCTACTTCCATAGGAGTTTAGTTACGCCAGGGTCAGAAAGATAACTGAAGAGAGACCGAGTCCATCTGTCCTGTGCCCAGGGGAAACCTTTGCACACTCTCAGCAATACACACGCACAAACGTCTTTTCTCTTCGAGACCAGCCTCTTCTACAAATACAACAGATCATGTCTCTCACACTGCCCGCCTGTTTAAAAGCATTTGTAGCCTTAGGTCAGCTGTAGCTCCTCGTCATGCACTGCACTAGGTTAACATCAACACACAGGAAGCGTTTTCAAATCTATGCATGAATTTTTGCAACTTTCACATGTGAAGAACTGCACATTTGCACCACAACAATTTTGCTTCCAAAGATGCACTTGACTGACAAAGTAGCCCTCTGCCTTTCTTCACTCATTAACCCCCTGGTCCTCATTTGCATTTCATAAGAAGGTTGTCACTCTCTCACACTGCCCGCCTGTTTAAAACCCTCTGTGGGAGGGTTATCTCCTTTTGGGAGGCAGGGAAAGATGAGAGGGATGAACTGACTTTTTTTTTTCTCTTGTCAAAAAGATAACACCACTCATCTGCTTATCACATCACTTCCTGATGCTCATGGATGTGGGTGACTGTGCTTGTGAATATGCACTATATCCTCAAGACAATAAAAAGAAAAGTGGGATCTTGAGCATGTGTACAGGACATATGCAAGTGACAGATGCAGGTTCAGTCGATGCCTCAAGTCAAACCTCTTGAGATGCTCCTTGCCGTCACCAGCACTCTGAACTCTGGGCTCTGAGACTTCGCATGCCCACTCAGAGGTTGGTTTCATTTTGCCCTTTCATCCATTAGCCAGTTTTAACTCAAGCTTCATCAACTGACCCTCCATTAGGCAAATTTGCATTTCATCACACTCAAATCCTGCATTAATGCCACCAAACAGAGTGGAAAAGCAATGAGAAAAGACCGCAGAGGTATAAAAAGGTAGATAAGAGGAGTGGAGATGGAAATGAAGGAAACACTCTGCTGGATAGCAATAAAATTTGCTCTTTTCCTAAACTGTAATTTGTGAATGTGCACGAATATGCATGAGTGTGCATGTGTGTATGCGTGTGTATTTGAATGGATCAGCCAGAGTGCTTTAGAGCTGACATCCATTTAAATGGCACATGTTTTGAATAAGCTTTTAAATCTGCGCCTACAATGCTGACATGCATTACCCATTCTCAAGTGGCTAAAAAAGGTACAGGTCCTTAAATATGAAAGGTGAAAATTGCAGAAATTGCACAACTCATAGGTGATTTCTGTAGTTGGATGGCTGATCATGCTGACATATCCTTTCAAAAATATTGTTACTGAAAATAGACTCTTTCAGTGTTTATTCTATGCAACACTTAAAGGGTGTTGCATAGAATATATTATGAAAAATATAAATACTCTTAATAAACCCAACTCTATATTACACTAAAATGAAATAGCTGACCATCCATGTATTTTATTATTATTATTTTTTTATATTATTATTATTTTAAACATAAAATCAATTTTAGAAAAATATGAGAACCTTTGTATGTGTGTTTGGAACAAAATCTCCTGCTCCCATAATATGCAGAGACCTTTTTTCTCTCTGCATTACATATATATATTTTTTGTACACCTGGACAGTTAATTTAGGAGGTAAATCAGCTCACCTTTTGCAGAAGCTGAGAGCCAGAGTACTTTGCAGAGATGGACTTCATCTCCCCACCAAATGCAGAGGCCCAGAGCTTCACCCTACAGGTGCGCACACATGCAAGAAAGGTTAGTAAATAAATAAATAAATAAAAATCAAGATATCGCTGTAAAATATGAACACAAGAAGCAGTGTCTTAAAAGCACAAGAAACTGTTAATTTCTCTCTTTGTCTCATATTGCCACCTGCTTATAAAATGACACTTCTTACAACAATGTCTTTTTTTTAATTGATTATAGTTCAAATCCATGTAGCAAATTATCCAAATGTGACAGCAGAACTGTAATCCAAAGCAAAAAAAAAAAAAAAAAAAAAAAACAACAACCTGGAATTAAGTAGCCTATATTTTTGTAATGCTTTTAAAAGTACATTGGTCTACTTACACGGACGGGGGGATGCTTTGGTGGGTGCCTCCAACTCCAGTTGCCCCGATGTTTTGAGTTGAGAAAAGTAAGAGCAGCCACATAAACCAAACGCTGGGAGCCACGCAGCACCGACCCACCTGCATCTTTGACACCGATACCCGCCTCCTGCGCGCACAACGCGAGTTTCTGTCTTTTGCTGCCACCCTCAAACACTCCAGCAACGAGGAACACTGTAGTCACCTGTACTGACTTACTGAATAATTCATGACAGTGGGGCAGCTTTATGAGCCGGTGCGGGACGCAGATAAAGCGACGCGTCTTTGGCGAACGGCGGGGCTCCCGCTGAGTGACTTATCCACAGCGAAGTGACCGGCGAGGCTCCGCTGACCGGTGTGGCGCACACTATCAGGATTCCAGACACTAAGTCGACCTCGACTCCTCCCGCAAAACGAGAGTCCTCTTAGTCGCTTTGATTTGCCCACCCCGGCTTCTGGAAAAGCTACTCAGGAGATTCGGGGGGGAGAAACCAGGGAGAACATCAAACGATGCAGCGCACAAATGCACGCCTTCTCCTCTTGACTGATGGGGCTAACCTCCTCTCCCTCACTTTCTCCCACCCTCACAAAACCCCACTTTCTCTCCGTCCTCTCAGAACCTCAGGGTATGGGGCTGGTGACGGCTCCGGCATTGTTGTTGAAATTACGCCATACTTGGGATTGCCTGACTCATTCTGCCCCCCCTCCACCCCAACATCCCTCCTATCTCCATTTCCTCACTCTTGGTCTCTAATATTGCAATAATAGCTGTAGCCTGTAGCTTTCAGGTCAGATCAAGTCATGCACTGTATGGTCAGTTCACCGAAGCAGGAACTGCCGCTAAAGTGCAGGAATAATAGGAGGAGAGAAGCAGGAAAAAGTAACAGGCAAAAAAAAAAAAAAAGTGGGGGTGTTTACCCTCTTGGTGGAAGAAGAAGGGAAGGACAGGATGATAAGTCAGTTCTGCTGTATTAAAGCATGCCAAATGCACTTTGCAGTAGTGATGTGGCACTGGCAGTGCGTGTAGTCATATGGGTTGGGAAAGACAGCGAGAGCCCCCAGGCAACGTGATGGATTGCATTTCACAAAAAAGCAGGGATTCTGACAAAGCACTGGAAGGGGATCAAGTTTGCCTCAATAGCCCAGCATGTGACTTTGTCTAGTGCTTGGATATCCAAATGGACAAATGTGGCTCAAACATCTGTGTAGAACAGCTGGTGTACAGTGCTTCACAAAAGCATTTTTTCCCTTTGCTAAGTTTTTCTTTTCATTTTGTCACAGTACAGTCCAGAACTTCATTTCTGGGGATTTTTTTTTTTGTTTGTTTGTTTGTTTTTGTAGTAAACCAACATAAAGTAGTGCACAAATATGAAGATTGTACAAATAAAAATCTGAAAAGTGCGGCGCGTCTTTCTGGTGTGTACCTGTCATATCCCATCCGTTGTTGAGTTGCTGCTCCCTTCCAGTCGAGTTTCTTCTTTCATTATGTTCAGTACTTGAGTTTTGGATTTGTTTTTCACTTAGTATCGTCCCGATCTGATTTACTCCTTTTTGTGATTTGCTCAGCTTGCTCAGTTCGGTCTTATTGTAGATGTCCTATTTAGATTATTGTGTTAGTTATTTGTTTCAGTTTTCCTTTCCTAGTTCCTCTGTTCTTCCTCGTCCCCTTTCACCATTCTCTCTCTCGCTCGCTCTACCACTTTGGTCTCATCTCGCAGCTCCAGCTCGTTACTAATCAGCCACCAGTTCTCCATCCATTAATCAACTCACCAGTATTTGAGTGAGTGAGCTCCTCATTGGCTGTCAGTCAGTCTGGATTGCACACCTTCTGGCCCACTGTGGTCTGTACTTTTTAACTTGTGCTCTTGCCTCATTAAACTTACTACCATCGACTCTCATCTGGGTGTCTGCATTTAGTTTGCCACCTTGCACCAAACACGATCTTCAAGAAGTGTTTAATTCTCTCCAAACCTCAGAGGCTTTCAGATATTTTATTAAGACAGGGTTTTACTATTTAGTCCCATTTACTGTTACACTAACTTTGCCATATTTAATGTTGATTAACTAACTATAATCAACTTTAACTGCTATTAAGACATAGCTGCAATGTTTTTTCGTGATCTGTGTATCTGTAACAATTCTGTTCAGAAAATACATCTCAATTTATTCAACTTAGTTCTATTTACTTGTGCAGCACCATTTCACAGCAAAAGTGAAACATGAAATTTATATAGAAAAATGTTTTGTCAGTCAGATTTTCATTCAGATTTGAATTGAATATCAGTCATTCTAACTTGATTTCACAGATTGCAACAGTTAAATAAAGTCTTTTATTCAAACTGATAAAAAAAGAAAAAAGTATTATATCTTAGGAAACCCATTGGATTACATCAAGTTACTGACTTTGCAGCAGTCTCTCCTCCTGAACCAGCATGTAGCAACAGTGGACAACTGATTGCAATGAGTTGATAACAAGCAGCAATCTGTCATACTGAGCGTGCATGCAGCGAGGCCCTGCACAAAAACTTTGGGTAAGAATAAGAACAGTGAGTTGTGAGCCATTTTAAACAGACATTAGTCGACAGGAAGGAGTCCAGTCTCACATCATTTCATTTTGTCCGACGTAGCTCTTATTTTTCTGTTCCTCGTTTTCTAAAAGCCGTAATCACAGACAATTTTTGGCGCGCAGGCTGTACCAAAAACGTTGTTTCCTATTGTGTTCCTAATATCATAACAAAAGAAAAAAAAAAATAATAATAATAATCAATCTTGTCTTTGCAGTGGTGCCATTCTTTTATCAACTAGGTTTTATTGATTTTATCCTTGCTGTGTGGAAGGCATGGTAATGCAACAGGAAGATGTCATTATATTTTATTGGAAAATAATAATAAAAAAAGTCAATGCACAACAGCAGGTTTTTTTGCCAACCAATATCTCCAGCCGCTGCAGGGTGAGTACACCAAGGTCAGGTTGTTTGTCTGCCTCAAGGTTTTGTAGCCACATTAATAAAGTTTACTACATTGCACTTAAAGCTACATAAAAATTATCAATACAGATTAGTTTAAATACTTAAGAATATTAACTGAAGCTTAAAGTATTAACTTGTCTAGGTTTTGTCAATATGTTACAGAATTTCACCCATAGCACAGACATATTCACTTCTCTTTCTACAGTCCCTCAAAAATCCTATTTTACTTTTACCCAAAGAGTGTTCTTTTAATTTCCACCAACAGAGCCAGAGTTGCTGGAGTAGGAAATAAAAATAAATTCAACACTGCAATAGTCATTTATGTATCATCTTCCCAGTCATGCTGATCATTCAATGCACTTTACATCAGAGATACTTTCACCCAATCATATTCCCATTTATTTACCAAAAAGAGTTGGAAAGACTCTAAGTGCCTGGAGCTATATCAACTTGTGACAGGAAGATCCCTTTAAAACTAAATGTGAGTATTGAGAAAAATAGCAAAACAGCTTGTTTAGTGAAAACAAATATCCAAACAAGGAGAAAAAGGGGAAAAATAACTATTTTAAAATAGAAGAGGAATTCATTCGACATCAATGTTTTCCTTCAGGCTTTTTTAAAAGACACTGAAGATAAATGAATTTGCCTCGAATAGAATCTCCAGAATCGGAAGAACATTAGTAAAATGAATTGTGTTTAAGACCAATTATGAACCAGTTATTTACATTTTTAACAGATAAGAATCAGAAGACTGGCCCATTTATGAAATGGAAATGAGCAGATACAAGAGAAGGACTCACAATGATGCTGACCCATATCATGGAAGAACCATGCAATAAAGACGTGTTGGCTTTACTGCTTTGTTAAGTGGTATATATATCTTTATATAAATCACTGAAGCTGCTGATGGACACAGTATATGCCACAAGAAGCTGCAAGAGAAACAAAATGCACCAGAAACTCTTCACAAATGATGTGAAAGAACATAAATTATATTCAGTCGATTTTGAAATTTTGCCAGTTCAGGCACAGATATGGATGATCAGAGTACAGAGGAAGGAATTAAAAATACATATTTGCTCTTTCTCTGCTGAGCCAGTGTGGGGTGGCAATAAAAGAGGCCCATGCTACAGATTGGTCCAAGCAGACCTGGAGCAGACAGAAAAACTATGTACATAGTCATCAGGTAAATTTACTATGCAGTTTATCCATGTACATAGATAGTTGCATTAGTTTGGGTAAAATTCATCAGGAACATCCTTTGTCTGGTATAGCATATTCTCGAGTTTTTTGAGTTCTCTGGATAAGAAAACACGACATATCGAACTTTAGTACGTTTTTTCAAATTGTCTCTCAGCATCTGGTTGTAAGCAAGTGAAGCTACATAAAAATTATCAAGCTACTTATCTGTGACTGAACTCCACATTTGTTTTAAATCCAGTGTTTATATAAATAACAAATTCAGATATACACACGTAAAAAAGAATCAGATTTCATTTCTACCAGTTAACTGAAAATTTAAAAAAAATATTTGCCAAATGTCTTGATCATAGACATTTTGTCTAAATGAATGACAGAGTCAGCCTGCCGTCAAGAAATGAGGATAGGTCTGAAGTCGTTGGAAGTGTTGTGAATTTCTGACTAGTAAGAAGAAAAACACAACACTATATAAAAGTGTGTGGATGGTGTGACTTTTTATTATTGAGTCAATTTTGTTTTCAATCTTCAAAGAAACTCTGAAATGCCTCAAGCAGCTACCTGATTGCATAGAAAAATGCTTGATTGGATAGGTAGTTTCATTATGTGGAATAACAGGCAGCCAGTCGAGACGAGACGTAATACTTGCATTGTTTTGCACAGCACACTAAAAATCATACCTGTGTGTTGCATTGCATTCAGAGCATAGTACCAACCGATTTGCCCAGAGCATCCAATTTCATTTTACATTTTCTGGTGACTTCAATTAAAAATGAATAAATAAATTGTAACTTGCTGTTACAAGTCCTTTCTTCCTTGAATTATTCTTCGTCTTCTCTTTATTATTCCCCCTCCTCCTGTCATCATTTTCAGATATACAATCTCCTTTTTATCTTTTTTTCTAGGTCTCACTGGCCTATTCTAAGCGCAACTTATTAAAATGAATATTTCTAATTTATTCTTCAAAAACAAGATGTTTTTCTAAAGAACCAAGGCAATGCCCCATGTAACCGGAAATTAGAGCACAAGGGGGCATAACTAGATAAAGTCTTCCTGTCAGCTTTCTTTGATACTAATTGGATATGTTACACTGAATCACCTGAAAAATAAACTGACCAAGCACTGCTAAAGACACCTTTTTATAAATGTTTCTATATTGTGAAAATAAGACTCCATAATCTTCAAGCAAATGTCTTAAAAATGCTACATCTAAGCAAAATAACTCCCTGTAAAGCAACTTAAAGTGTTTGCATTCAAGTCTAGGACTGTTTATTAGTCAGAGCTCTATAGACTACGCTGTTTTGTTGGTAACCAACTCATTTGCTATGATAACATGCCCAAGAGACTAAAATGAGGCCATTCACTGCAGCTGTGTAGATATGGGATGAGGAGCTTGGAGGCTATGAT